TAGGAATCTCTAGAATCTCTGGAATCTGTACAATCTAAGTATCCAGGAGCCTCCCGTAACCTCCCGTAACCTCCCGTAACCGTAACCTCCCGTAACCTAGGAATCTCTAGAATCTCTAGAATCTCTGGAATCTGTAGAATCTAAGTACCCAGGAGCCTCCCGTGACCTCCCGTAACCTCCCGTAACCGTAACCTCCCGTAACCTAGGAATCTCTAGAATCTCTGGAATCTGTAGAATCTAAGTATCCAGGAGCCTCCCGTAACCTCCCGTAACCGTAACCTCCCGTAACCTCCCGTAACCGTAACCTCCCGTAACCTAGGAATCTCTAGAATCTCTGGAATCTGTAGAATCTAAGTATCCAGGAGCCTCCCGTGACCTCCCGTAACCGTAACCTCCCGTAACCTAGGAATCTCTAGAATCTCTGGAATCTGTAGAATCTAAGTATCCAGAAGCCTCCCGTAACCTCCCGTAACCGTAACCTCCCGTAACCTCCCGTAACCGTAACTTCCCGTAACCGTAACCTCCCGTAACCTCCCGTAACCGTAACCTCCCGTAACCTAGGAATCTCTAGAATCTCTGGATCTCTGGAATCTGTAGAATCTAAGTATCCAGGAGCCTCCCGTAACCTCCCGAAACCGTAACCTCCCGTAACCTCCCGTAACCGTAACCTCCCGTAACCTAGGAATCTCTAGAATCTCTGGAATCTGTAGAATCTAAGTATCCAGGAGCCTCCCGTAACCTCCCATAACCGTAACCTCCCGTAACCTAGGAATCTCTAGAATCTCTGGAATCTGTAGAATCTAAGTATCCAGGAGCCTCCCGTAACCTCCCGTAACCGTAACCTCCCGTAACCTAGGAATCTCTAGAATCTCTGGAATCTGTAGAATCTAAGTATCCAGGAGCCTCCCGTAACCTCCCGTAAACGTAACCTCCCGTAACCTAGGAATCTCTAGAATCTCTGGAATCTGTAGAATCTAAGTATCCAGGAGCCTCCCGTAACCTCCCGTAACCGTAACCTCCCGTAACCTCGAAGATATAGTTTAATCTAGTAAGTGTTTATACGCACTCTGTAATCACCATTAAACGTAATTAGTTTACTTATACGCAATTAGTGACGCATTAGACGCTATTAATGCCATTTAAACGCAATTAATACATATACTTATCATTTTTGCAATGTTTAGTTGGGATTCAGAAATCACTTGATAGGCTTCAAACATCCGCCAGCCCTGGTACCTTGGCATGCGCCGCCCTGGGTGCAGGTGTGGCAGCAGGGGCTGCAGCTTCTGCTGCTTCCTCCTCGTCATCGTCGGTGTATTCGTCCTGGCATGGCGAGCTGCCAAAAAGAAACACCTGGGCTTACTGTTTGACCCAATTGTGCCAAACTCAATGATAAACATTGATCAACAATACCCCATTCGAACTACTCTCATAATTTCGAGAGTTTCAAACACCATACACATCCATACCCCCAAAAGGGCTCAGACAGAGTTCCCGTTGCCTCACTCCCAGACTCCGCCGCAGCTTTGGGTGCAGCACCTTTGTTGGGTCAGGTTGAAGATGGCAGCTTACCATAGAAGAGTTTACCGGGAACCAGGTGATTCACAAGTTTCATGGATTCTATGTGTAAAAATCTATACATCATTATATCTGTATCATTATATAACCCTTCTTTTTCCCGCACTTATTGGTTTTCGGGGTTCATCTGTCACTGATTATAAAGATGGGAAAGGTATGGAAAGGTGGGCTATTGACGTTGGTAAGTTGTGGGTTCATATCTGGGTAGCCGGATTAAATCGACCCCAGTCTCAGCTCATACTTCGCCCTGTGCCAAAGAAAGACCTTTTGCAGCCGCATTTCTGCGGTTCGCACGATAAATCTGTTTAATCGATTATGGGTATCCATATTATAACCATCTATCCATCAACAATTTGCAGACTCAAATACCAATGACACCATGAACAAAAATGAAGTGGTCATTTTTTCTAGCAAACCATGCCATTTCCGCCCTATGACTTGATCAATGGCCATCAAGTGGAATGTTTTCTGTGAAAAATGGCACGCCAACAATAAATGGCAAAAGGTAAAGTAGAAACCTCTCACTTTTACAACATCAACCATGTTTAAGCATGTTTATATATGGAGGTTTGCTAAAATGGGGGAACACCAAATCATCCGGAATTAGACCATATTAGACCACTTTAGTATTGAAACCCATGGTTTTGGGGCTCACCCCTCGGATTTTGATTTTGGAACCCTATGGTTTCCCACTGAGTGCGGAGCCCGCGCGTGGAGGTGGAAGGTGGGGCACCTGACTACCACGGGCGCCCAAACTGAAGAAATCCAACGCCCCGTTAGAGACCCCGGTTTAACCTGGGTCTCTAAGAAGATATTTAATATGTGAGAGATTTTGACGGAAGGGATTCACTATTCTCGTGAGATGATTGAAACGAGCAGCTGGCCTTCGAAGGTAAGGAGGCTTTGTTTGAAGCCTGGCACCGAAATCAATGAGACATGCGAGACATGTGACTCCTGCATGCTGTTTTCATTGGGAGGTCATTTTCTCAGTATAGGTAGGTAGGTAAATAAGTAGGCAAATCGGTAGGTATGGAGTCCGGAAGTAGGTAGGGAGTTAGGTATGCAGGGATGTAGGGATGCCTGGATGCGTGTATGCAGGTATGCGGAAATGCCGGCTTGTAGGTATGTAGGAAGGCAGGTAGGCAGCTGGCAGGTATGTAGGTAGGTAGGCAGGTAGGTATGTACGTATGTAGTGTAGGACAAACGAGGTTCGTAAGTATGTTTTTTTGTTTTTTTTTTCTCTCTCTCTCTCTCAAGTTGTTATGATCAGTACGATAGGTTCCCGAACAACAAATATGACCTACTACAAACCAAGCAAAAAACAGCAACACGAAAGGGCTCCATTGCTGTTTCACAGCGAAGCATGCCAAGTTCCGCTAAGCCGCTATGCTACGCTGCATTGGACCACATCATCCCTTTGGGAGACGGGCGAAAAGCGGTTCCTGATCTACTACTGGATTTGCCAGCTAAGCCAGCGACAAGAGATTCAAACAAAGTGGGTCCGGAGCGGTCCTGTCCTCAACATGTGCACCTGGAATTGCTAAGAATCAACACTATCATCATGGGGCAATCCAGTCACAAAATATTTAGGGCACAGGATATGATTCAACTTTATCATTATTATGAATATGATGAATTGTTACTATCACCACTATCCATTTAGGGCCCAAAAAATCAGGGTCTCAGTGCGCCAACAGAATCACTCCATTGCGCTCACCGTGAACTCAGACATTGTCAGGGCTGGCAGGAACTCAGACTCAGCTTAGATTGGTGGCAGCACACTTTGTCGTGCCCCTTCCTTCTTGACCTTCCTGAGTCAGGGATGATCGGGGGCAATACCCTCATCTCAGGCGACCCAGGCGACCCAGGTGCTGTTGGATGGGGTCAACATGTCTGGATCTTTGCAGAAAGAATTTTCAGTAGAATTGACATATGATATTGAAATTGATGTATAGTCAATAGTTGTAGTCAATGGTTACCTGCAAGTAAGTTTTATATGTATGCGTAATTGTATAATTATTATTTGATTGTATGTATAATATATATATATATACATATATATATATATATATGTACACACGTGTACATATATACACACTTTTATATGCATAATGTATCTATCTAAATATCTATCTGTCTGTCTATCTGTCTGTCTGTCTGTCTGTCTATCTATCTATCTATCTCTCTATCTCTCTATCTCTCTATCTCTTCAATGTATACATGTAAATATTGCTTACATCATCAGGAATAGGATCCCTATGATATTGATCGATCCTCCAAAAAGACACACAAAACCCACTACTGCAAAACATATTTTCCACAAGTACTCGACACTTCAGAGGCTTGACGACTGCCAGTTCCAACAATTTCATTCCGTGGCGCTCAATCGCCGGTGAACAACTTGATGCAAACGAGTTTCAATGTCCCGCGCTTCTTGAGTTTCTGTTTCTTCTCTTCAAAGTCATCTTGAAGATCCTTAAGTTCGGCAATTTCGTAACGTTTGGTTTTGTCCCAACATTGTGGTAACAAAAAACCATGCAAAACACCATGCCATCCCATGGTTTTGAAGAAAACAATGGAAAACACCCGGAAAAGCCAATGCTCAATACCCCCCAGAGGATTCACAGACATGGTGACATGGATATTATGCAAAAATATGCAAAACACCATGGAAAACCCAGCATTTGTAGATCATGTTCCTTGGGAGACCATTGGTTTTCCATATCTATGTTGGTTACTACGGTTAATAGCCCAGTGAAAGCCTCCCATCGGATCGTCCAAGCGTCGTCGCGAAGTTCAGGAGGCTTCGCATCAGGCTTCCACACCAAGCCTGAACAACTGCCGATGTTGGCGCGCACCGATTCGTTCACCATGTCCTTGGAAAAATGGGATAGCTGGATGATCCATTGGATGCTTGGTTGGTTGGGAAAGGTTGATGCTGAGGGAGCTTGGGATTCCCCCCATCCCTCACCACCTGCGACCCAGCATCCCGATCTTCACGGTAATGAGCCTGGCTCAACAGCTTGAACCATGCGATGTGCTACCCAAACAGGACTTGGAGGCTGGTACAGGGATCCTGACGTTCATTCCTGAAATTTCATGGCTAGTAAATTGACGAAGAAATTGGGTACCATATGTTACCATGTGTGTTGATTTCTTTTCTTTGGTTGTTACCCTCTGGTTATTTAACATAGCCATGGCATAGATGGCCCATAGAAATAGATGGTTTACCTATTAATAGCATGGTGGATCTTTCCATAGTTATGTCAGTTTACCAGAGGGTAAATCATGTTAGATCCCCAAGAGTCCACCGTCTCTCATTTTTTCGAGCCCGAAAAAATCCCCAATCTCCCAGCCAGCCGCTGGCGCCAAACGCGCCTCCGCATAGGCCAGCGCCACACCGTTGCTCTGAATGGCCGTGGTGGTCATGTCCTCCAAAGAATGGGGGTATATCCAAAGAATGATTTATTGGCTTTTCTCCGAAAATAGGGGGTATATCCGATATCCCGTACAAAATCTCCAAACCAGCAAATTTCAATGGGAGGAAATGAGGTTTATAACTTTCCAAAATGAACATTTTATGGGAACAAGTGAGGTTTTAGATCAATGGATTCAGGATTGAACAAACCCTCTCAATTTTTCTAGACAACCCCCTGGTAGATTGTTGTGGCTCTGACCTGGTCCTCACCAGCACTGGGAAGTCAACCTCCAACAATCACAACCAACAATAGAGCTACGACGTTAAATAAGATTTTAGATGATATCACCTATAGAACTATGTAGAACTATGTAGAACTTATTGAATTTCATTAAAATTACTGGACCTTTTCCCAGCAACCCCGAAGTCCCCAAAAAACGGGGCTTGTGCTCCTTGTCCACGCCAGTCGGACGCATGAAGGAGAGGGCGCGGCCATGCGTTTCTGCCAGGCACAACATCACCTTGACATGTGGCGATGGTGCAACTGCCATGGGAAGTCAGCATGGAAAGCTCCCATTTTTATGGACCAAAATTAGAATAGCAGCTGAGCACACATCATCATCTTCCAAAACATGTTTTGTTTCAGTGGTTTCGCGTGGAAAAACGATGCATGGAATGCTGGATAATCTGAGGTGAAAATGAATCGTCTCACATCGACTTTGCCAAGCTGCACGATTCCACTCCTTCTTCAGCTCTTGCTTCTGCTTCGCCAGTCTTTCAACCTGCCAGATGTGAGCCCTTCATGTAATGTGATCAACCAAATTGATCAACCATCCTAGCCATAAACTTCTATAAACAGAAAGGTGTGTAGTCACCCCCAATGGTAAGCATGGCTTCAACAAGTGGTGGTTGGTGTATGTTTTCCTCAACCGTTCATCAAGAGCATAAAAATCATCAACCAGCTGTTGATTAATCAACCAAACTAACGTGGTAAACATGGTAAAGCCAAGAATAAACGATTCCATGAACCAGCCATTTGAGGGTTGTTTTATATACATCATCCCAAATAGGGAAAAACACCCAAAAATCAACCTCGTTCTTGGGGATGATCATCCCATGTGGATGAAAGCATCAAAAGGATGGGTTTCAGAAAGCCTATAAATAATGGGATAAACCACATAAATAATGGGATAAACCACATAAATATGTAATGGGATAACCCACATAAATCATGGGATAAACCACATAAATAATGGGATAAACTACATAAATAATGGGATAAACCACATAAATAATGGGATAAACCACATAAATAATGGGATAAACCACATAAATAATGGGATAAACCACATAAATAATGGGATAAACCACATAAATAGTGGGATAAACCACATAAATAATGGGATAAACTACATAAATAATGGGATAAACCACATAAATAACGGGATAAACCACATAAATAATGGGATAAACCACATAAATAATGGGATAAACCACATAAATAATGGGATAACCCACATAAATAATGGGATAAACCACATAAATAGTGGGATAAACTACATAAATAATGGGATAAACCACATAAATAATGGGATAAACCACATAAATAATGGGATAAACCACATAAATATGTAATGGGATAACCCACATAAATCATGGGATAAACCACATAAATAATGGGATAAACCACATAAATAATGGGATAAACCACATAAATAATGGGATAAACCACATAAATAATGGGATAAACCACATAAATAATGGGATAAACCACATAAATAATGGGATAAACCACATAAATAATGGGATAAACCACATAAATAATGGGATAAACCACATAAATAATGGGATAAACCACATAAATAATGGGATAAACCACATAAATAATGGGATAAACCACATAAATAATGGGATAAACTACATAAATAATGGGAAAATAATGGGAAAGATAAACCACCCTATATTTTTCATAATGGTGCAAGATGTCGCAACCATCCACCATATGGACCATATGGATCCATATGGACCATCGCCTCATCAGCATCTTGCAGCCCAGTCCAAACCTGGCGCAAGGACAGTTACTTGGTATCGAATATAAGGTATATTAGAGATATATGTATACATATACTCCTGGCAATATACATGTGCATATTGTGTATATATTGTGTATATATTTGTGTATATATTTGTGTATATATTATATTATATTATACTATATTATATATTATTATATTATATTATATTATATCATTATGTATATACGTGATTATGTACGTATACATAATAATACATAATATAATATCACCTTAATATAGTTGACAGTGCAATCCACCAACCCTGTTCTTTTCTTGTCCGCGAGCCTCTTTTTGCTCCTCCATGATCTGTTTGGATGGTGGCTGCACCGCACACAAGGCCATGTTTCCAAGATCTCCAGCAGCATACCTCGGATGGCAGGGTTGAATTCCCATGAATGAAAGGACAAATTGAAGGGAAATCCTTCGGAAAACATCAGAAAAAACACGATTTTTCCTAGGAAATCTGTGGGTTCCTTGCAGATTTCCCTGCAAACCAATCCAGCATGGTTGTGTATCTAAAACTGGACGCGCCGGTGAAGACCCTAAGGAAATCTCTGTATGTTCGTAGTACAGGGAACCTTCACGATGGGTCTGCCTGAAAATTATGGGAAAACTCCCAAATTGGATGATTTGTCATAATTTTCCCCATTATATACATCTCATTACAATTATTGGATAAATGGTTTGTCAATTGGATGACGTTCCCCATTACACTAGCCATTTGGGGGTCCAGCCCATTTTGGACAAACCCATATCACATCAAATGAACGATCATGTTGGATATGTTTGGATACCCATGGATTCTTCTCAGAGGTATGGGTCAAAAATCACTGATCCCTAAATAATCACAAGAACCCGACACGTGATGGGTGAAATCCATCTTTTTCGCGCTCAAATGTCACCTTGTAGCGGAGGTGAAACCTATAAATGTTGATTACCCTCTGGTAAACTAACAGTTTGCTATTGAAAATGGCAATAGAAGTAGTGGATTTTCCCATTAAAAATGGTGATTTTCCATAGTTATGTTAGTTTACCAGAGGGAAAGCCATCCTTTGCCAGTGATATCCCATTTTCGTATCACTTTTCCCAATCTCGTCAGATTTGTCCCATGATCAAACAATGGTTAGAGTAGTAAACCACCGTTTTCACCATAGGTTTGTCCAATATCCCGGGATATCCCAAGTTATGCCACTTTCAATGGCTAGCATGATTTTCAAAACCTGGGATTCCGTTTTCTTTCCAAAAAAACACAGGTTGGTTCATATCCCCACAGGTTGAGCTTGGTCATGTCCATCATCCAAATGGGAATTTCCACACCACGATTTGGGAATAACCAACCACCTTTTTTAAGCACCAACCAAATGGACTATTCAAGGGGTTTGAACAACCTATTTCTCTATATGTTCATCAAGCGCCGTTTTGATCAATTTTGATCCATTTTGAACCATTTGGGTTTGTCGGAACATAGGCTACGCACAAAGCCCGTTGTTTATCATCATTTCCCCCATCAAAAAACAACAATTTTGGGTAACCCCCATTTTCAGACACCTCCAAGTATCATATTATCATACTGTTGCTTAAATACCGTGCTATCCCATTACAACCACATTCTTATATTAGTGCTGGTTGTGACTGGTCGATGGTTAAACCTCCATGAATGGCACGTGCTGTTGGTCATAAATCCATCAAAGCATCACTACATCCCATATCCACATTGTGGTTGGTTTGGAAAACCCCTATTTTTGAATGCTAAACTCCAATTCTTCGTGAAAAACACCAATGTTTTTCCTCATGTTTGATGGTCAAATCCCCATTCTTGATGTTTACCCTCTGGGAGAAATTTTACAGTTTGTTTTATAGATCACATACCAATGTTTATTGATTTTATACACCAATGTTTTTAAAAATTGTGATTTTCCATAGCTATGATTTAGCTATGTTAAATAACCAAAGGGGCAATTTTCCATATAACCATCCATTTTCACTGCTCAACATATTCGAAAATGGTGACTATAGCTATGTGAAATCACCCGGTAAAACTAACAGAACTAGGATTTACATGAGAAATTTACATCATAATTTCACATCATTTATGTGAGGGTTTCCATAAATGCACTCATGGCTACCCTGGTTTATTCGGAAAATCCTTTTTTTTTAATTGGATGATTTGGGGGTACCCTCTGGTAATTTAACAGTGTGCTATTGAAAATGGCCCATTTATAGTGGATTTTCCCATTAAAAATGGTGATTTTCCATAGTTTTTTGTATGTTCACCAGAGGGTACACCCCCCCCATTTTAGGAAACCTCCATGGGGACGCCATGTAATTCCCAGCAGCTCCAGGGCTTCCAAGTTCTGCACCGCGGCTGCCAGCAGCATCTGCGAGTCGCAGCGAAAGTCCAAGGGCGCCGAGCGCAAGGTGCGCCAGTCGCGCTGCACGGCTTCCAGGATGAAGCTGCGCCTGAAGTTTTGAGAAAGGCCCAGTTATGGGTAATACTGTGTGTCTAGAAGTATACTATATATATATATACATAGATATGCGTGATGTACATGATTAATTTATTGTCATATATGTATGACTACAAATATGTACAGATCTACAATATCGCATATGTACATCGTGTTCATATCCCAGCATTTCCCTGTGTTTAAAGCCACCTCCGGCGCAGGGCAGGACCCGCATAGTGCAGGGCGAAGGAGTCCATCTGCAGTGCCAGTCTCATGAGCTCCTCGTCTTCGCGCAAGAGCACGGGGGCGTAGTTGCCGAAGGCCTGAACCGATGGAAGCTGATGTCGATCGTTGTCAGAAAAATATCATTATTTACAATATATATATATATGTTATTAATATATTATGTGTTATGTTATATTATTGATATACTATTGATATATTATTGATATATTATTGATATATCATCTGTTAAGTTATATATTATGAATATGTTATGAACATATCACAACTTGTTTCATTGTCAGTGTTTTTTGCTGTATAATCATATATCATTGACTATATATACATATATCGTTATTTACCCTCAAGATTATATGATATGAACATTATTCATTATATGTAATGAATTCTTATCATCATAATGACAATTGTAGTTGATGGTAACTACAATAATGATGGTAATGATATGTAATAAACATGAGGATGATGAGGATGATTGTTACCATCATTACCATTATATATTTACAGTCATTATTCTTGCACATTATCATTACTTACCATGAGCTGTCATCAATTAGTATCATTATCAATATTTACAATCATTATCAACATTACATACGATTACCATCCTTGTCATTTGTCGTTGTGATGATCTTTATTGTGACCGTTGACCGTTATCATCATGATCACATCGCTTCATATCATCATTATGATCACCATCATGATTCTGATTATGCCTCATATGCTTGTGATGATTCATGAATGCTTAGTGCTCAGTGATATCAACCTACAACTTTGGCCTTCCCACAATACCTCAAAATAGGGAGCCTTCGGAACTATCCCACCCTGCTATCAACTTGTCGCCTGCCAGCCAGTCTGTTCATTCTGCTCCAGGACTTTCTTCCAGAAGGGCTTGGAATCTCTCAATGGCAGTGCCAAATGGTCAGCTGCAAACCAATACTCTTTGATGGCATGCAACATCAATTCCTGCAGGACACCACTATAACACACAGGTTTTCTTCGGGGTGAAAAGCATGGAAAAACATGGCAAAACGACAGATACTACGGATGAGCCCATTGAGATTTCCATCTTCTACAATGATGAAGTCTGATAAAGCATGATGTATCCGCTGTACTTGGGGATGACCCTCAAAAAAGGGTGAGTGACTCCTCGCACTGGACGCTCTAAATACGGCTCTACAATAACGTAGACTGTATAGACACACACGAAACAATGAAAGGCATCAAAATGGATACACTTCCATTTATGTAACCTATTCGTTTGTTGGCATTATTTGAAACGTTCCTAATTTTCGATATTCCAACAGAACCAGCTCCTGCCATTTGGACCATGTGACCAATCAATCAATGGATAGTATTGCATCCTGGACCCCAAAACCACCTGATGGAAGAAGGGGATGGGGGAAAGAGCCAGCATAATGGGTGGGTATTGACCGCAGCTAACTCCAATCAAAATATGAGATCATCTGAGAGCGGCTTGAAATGATCGCCCCTCAGAATGCTTACCATTGGCGCCATGCCCACATCTGGTATATCCCTATTTTGGTCGGTGGATTTTTCCCCATTCTCGTAGGTTATGTTACACTTTTCCAGTTTGGAGCTCGTATCCCCATATTCGCTAGTCAAATACAAATCAAAACAATATCAATCAATCTCAAAACAAACCTAGCTTACAATGCTGCAAGCCCAATAAGAAAACAACATCTGAGGTTGCCAGTTGTATTTTCTACTCAAAGGGTTCTCACCAAGAAAAAGTATCCGTGTTTGTCTGACACTTTGGTATTCCAAATCAATTGGTTTGTCATCATCTGCCTTGGTGAAACCCCAGTAGAATGCAACACACCGGTGGTATCCTTTATTTTCAGACACACCAAAATATAACATATATATATATATGTATATGTATATTGATTGTTGCTTAGGGTATGTATCTCATTATATGTCATTCTTCTCACATTATTGTTGGTTAATTAATTATATAATATTATATATATAATATATATCCAATATCCCACTGTATCTCATCCCCATATTATCCAACTCACTTCCTTGTTTTTCAAAAACCCCAGTTGCACCCACTGCGGCATGCTGTGGCTCCTGATCCTTACCCCGCAGTTGTTCAGAGGCATGTCGCAAACCTGGTGATCAACGTTCAACTGTTGGGATATGCCATGGGGGTTTCCATACATGGGGGTACCCCAAAATGGGATGGTTTATATCATGGAAAATCCTATTGAATTTAGATGGTTTGGGGGTATCCCCATTTCAGGAAACTTCTATATGCCAACCAAACATGGAGATACTATAAGTCTACCCAAAAATGCAGAAAAAAGAGGGATTCCTCTAAGCCAAGACGATTTCCCCTGGATACAGGTCAAGTCAGTGAATTCAGGTTGGGGCGTCAGCCTTCCGATAGTGCAATATGATGTATTCTTACATCATACCCGTTCATAGATTTCAATATGTAGACTTCCTTCCGAATATATGTTTTGCTGCTCAAAAAAGGGATTTACATCGACAGAATGGCGATTTCCATCCCATGTTTGGGTCTGAAGATGTGATGGCTTGCATTGCAAACTTATGGCAGTTTTCATAGACTTTAATGGGGAAAATTGGAGCAAAGACAGAGTCAGTCACCCGAGTCAGTCGCCCCAAACGTCCGAGTCAGGAACCGCATAGGACAAAGTCAGTCACCGGAGAACACTAGCACAGGATGCAGGGAAACCAGGAAGAGGAGACAGAGAGTCAGCAACCAAGAGTCAGTCACCCCTCGGAAGCCGGGAGGAGGATCAAGGAACCCGGAGGAAAACAGAAAGTCAACAACAAAGAGTCGGTCACCCTGGAAGGAGAATCCAGGAACCCCGAAGAAAACAGAAGTCAACAACAAAGAGTCAGTCATCCCTGAAAGCTATCTATCTATCTATCTATCTGTCTGTCTGTCTGTCTATCTATATCTATATCTATATCTCTATCTCTACATCTATCTATCTCTATCTATCTCTATCTATCTCTATCTATCTAATTCTATCTCTATCTATCTCTATCTATCTAATTCTATCTCTATCTATCTCTATCTATCTCTATCTATCTCTATCTATCTCTATCTATCTCTATCTATCTCTATCTATCTCTATCTATCTCTATCTATCTCTATCTATCTCTATCTATCTCTATCTAGCTCTATCTATCTCTATCTATCTCTATCTATCTCTATCTATCTCTATCTATCTCTATCTATCTAATTCTATCTAATTCTATCTAATTCTATCTAATTCTATCTAATTCTAATTCTATCTATCTATCTATCTATCTAATTCTATCTATCTATCTATCTATCCATCCATCTATCTATCTATCTATCTAGGTATCTAGGAATCCATGGGAACATGGAAAAACGGAACGTCAACAACAAAGAGTCCCTCAAGAAACCTTAACGCAACCCTAAAGAAACCCCAAAGCAACACTAAGGAAAGCCAAAACCAACCCTCGCAACGAAACCTAAATAAACCCTACACCATTTTTAAAACAAATCCTGACGAAACCCTCATTAACCCTAAACCACCCCCAAAGAAACGCTAAACTAACCCGAAATATACCCTAAACCAACCCCTAAATATAATTGCCCTAAACGAAACCTAAACAAACCCTAAACTAACCCTAAATAAACCCTAACCCTAAATCGACCTTGAATAAACCCTAAGGCAACTCTAAACAAACCCCAAACCAGCCCTAAAACAAACCCTAAACCAACCCCCAAACAAACCCTGACGAAACAATAATTCAATTCAACCCTGAACCAAACCAAAAGAAACTTAAACCAAGCATCCATAAACCCCAAACCAAGACTACACCCTAAAACAAATCCTACAAAAACCCTAAACCAACCCTCAAGCAAACCCTGACGAAACCCAAATTTCACCTCAAACCAGACCTAAATAAACCCTAATCCAACCCTCGCACAAACCCGGATGAAGCCCTAACTTAATTTTAAACCAACCCGTAAAAAACCCGAACCAGGCCTAAATAAACCCCAAACCAACGCTAAGTAAACCCTAAATAGACCCTAAACCAAACCTTGACGAAACCCTACATTAGCCCTAAACCAACCCTATTAAATAAAACCTAAACCAAGCCTAAATGAACCCTAAACCAAGCCTAAATAAACCCTAAACCAGGCCTAAACCAACCTTAAAACAAATCCTGACGAAACCCATCATTACCCTAAACCAACCCTTTAAAAACCCTAAACCAAGCCTAAATAACCCCCAAACCAACACTAAGTCAACCCTTAATATACCCTAAAACGAACCGTGAGGAAACTCTGCAGAAACCTTAAACCAACCCTAAAACCAACTCTTAATAGACCCCAATACATCTTGAAACAACCCTGAACCAACCCTAAAAGAAACCATGTCACTTTGATGGCCCACGAGGCACGCCGCAGGGCAGTCACCCCTCGCCCCAGTGGGGCTGTGGAGGGTGACTGACTCCGACGTGGGGGGTGACCGACTCCGTCTGGTCTTGGGAAAATTATACTCTGAACCGATATGGGGTACCCTGGTACCCTAAGCAGCCTTCCCATTTATTGGTTACACATATATTTCTTTTATATCATTATACATTATAGATACAAATAAGTCCACAAATGAATAATTCAAAATATAAATACAACTAACTAAAAAATCATCACATATAGTTGTATACCAACTTTATACGCTACCTTTCAAACAACCTTATCATTTTTGCCAAACTAGCGCGATGTATCCAAACTATCTCCTCATAGCCCCCGTTATAGCAACCAACCGACCTTCGTTGGCCAAGACACAGTTGGGCTGCGGGATCCGCTTCGTGGCCAGCTCATTGTACTCCGTGAGGTCGGGACCTGTCCATTCCTCGATGTTGATCTGCCCGGCTGGGCAATCCTCGGGTCAGAACTGGCCGCAGGGCCCATGGAAAGGACATGGTGATGGGGATCCATATGGATCCATATTTTATGAATATCATATATCGTTATGTAACATATAGATACATATAGCGCACATAAATCATACACTGTCATACACATCATATGATGTTTAATGCCATATACAGTATATATATACACACGTATATGTATATATATATATACATACATAAGACATTAATCAAATTGAAGGACCGGATAAGACCACATGTCACCTTCTCTCAACAAGCACCAAACAAAGTGAAAATGAGATTGGAAAGGCAGGACAAATAGAGGGGATGGTAGAGGACTGGTGGTGTGCCACAAGCGTATGTGAAAGAGTTGTTTGTGAAAGAGTTGTTTGTGAAAGAGTTGTTTGTGAAAGAGGTGTATGTGAAAGAGTTGCGCGTGAAAGTGGTGTGTGACAAAGTGAGGTGGGAAGAAGTTCTGTGTGGAAGAGATGTGTGTCAAAGAGTTGTGCATCAAAGAGTTGTGTGTGGAAGAGTTGTGTGGGAAAGAGTTACCTGCTGCAAGAATTGTTTGTGGCAGAGCTGTGTGTGAGCAAGAGTTGTGTGTGTGTGACATCGTTGTGCGCGCGCAGAAGATCTGTGTGAAAGAGTTGTGTGTAATGAAGGCGTGTGTGTATGTGATTGCACAATCCCATTCTTCAAATTGAAAGAGCCCGCAACTTCCTCGCTCTTCACCTGGAGAAATGGCAGGGTCATGTGACCCAGACTTCGCATGCAGCAAGAGAGCACACAAAATCACAGCACAACTTGTGGGAACAGGTAAAGAATCGAATTTTGGGAACTAAACCGTAACAAGCTGTTCTGAACCCAAAGCAGCGGAGTAAGAGTGCGTTAGGCAAAGGTCTCACTTGCGGCTCGGAAAAGCGCTCACTTGGAGCTCAGACTGTTTGCTCACATCTCGTGTTGCGGGTTGGGTGGGGTGGGGTGGGGCGGGGTGGGTGTGATAACATGTGATATACGTTCTTTGGCTCTTGCACACCGACATGATCCCACGCTATCAGATCTACTTCTCTTGCACGTGCACACCGACATGATGCTACGCTGTCAGATCTTCTCCTGGCTCTGGGCTGGGGTGGAGGGTGGGGGGTGGGTTGGGTGTAATAAGGTGCGTTGGCTCTTACACACGGACTCTATGCTACGCTGTGGGCCTTTGGCCTTTGCCCTTGTGTTCTTCATCAAACATGACCATGAACTTTCTCAAACTGCAGAACATCTTGGTCTTGGACTTGCCAGGCTTGCCATATGCCACTGCTTTTCAAGTGGTCTTCTCATTCCAACATGACCATAAAGTGTCTGGACTTTAAGCAAAAAGGAGTTGCAAGCGAGCACATTTAGGAGTTACAAGCAAGACATCGCCCCGGGACACCCCACAATGAAAAAGACAATATATATATACATACACACATGCATATTTTCTTTTTGATAGACATGCGTGCGCAACGAAAAGCTAGGTGCATATGCACATATGAATACATATGCAGAAAGGTATTCGCAGCCCAATGCGCAAGGAAAAAGCACACCGAACAACACATGGGAACATCCTGGTTGGCGCAGGAGGTGCAGTTTGATTTGGCAGTGCTTTGAAACCTTCGAAGGAATGGCAAAGGAAAGGATAAGCAACCCAGGCGATCCCAAAAGAATGCGAGAAAAACTGCAAGAATCTGGGACCTGGCTTCACATCTTTTGGCTTCCGAAAGGGACGCCCCAAAAGGAAAAGGCGTTTCTGTTCATGATGGGATTGATCTGACTCCCAATCAAAACCTGTCTCCTGGGTCCCTGGATAGAATGCCCTCGCGCATGAGATACCATCCTCTTGGAGCCATTACAGCATCAACGATATCAAAGCACGAACATGAGACCCCAAAACCCACTACATTCTAAGCTCCAAAAAAGTACACTGCAGTAGGAGGGTTAAAATGCGTCTGGTCGCATTCCAACTCAATTTATAAAACTTTTTTTTGGGTGGGCCCACATCAAAAAACAAATCTTCGCCGTTTAGCAAAACCACACTCGAACTTAGAGTCTGGCGGTATATCCCATACGTAGTTTTACTGAAAAACAAGTTATGTTTACAAAAAAAACTTATCCCAACCCATATCCCATACATCCCATACCTAGTTTTTACAGTTTCAGAGAGTAATTTATTCTTTTGTTCTTTCCACCTGTCCAAGTGCCAGGGATCTCGAATGCCCATGGCCCAACGTGCCTGGTGCGGCTATGGCATGAACATGGCTCGGTGCTGGTTCAACGATTGGGTGATGTCCCATAGCTATGATTATTTACTAGAGGCTATCTATATAGTTGCTATGTACCTTGAGACAATGAAAACCATGAAAACCATGATTAATCTGGGTAAATTATAATATTTTACTAACCTGAAATAAGGCCATTTGGGGATGATTCCCCTTACTAACCATCATTCCCAGTGAGGTCGCAGTGAGGTCGTTATAATTTACCCAGATTAATGTACACTGTGCAGCACACTGCTAATCTGGCTTGGGGATGAGCATCTAGGTGGCAACCAGGTGGGACACATCACGCAGCAAGTTTTTTCAGCCGCCTACTTGACCTTTTCTGACACTTTTTGATACATATCTCGGTACATGCAGCAACATTTTGTTGATAGATGTAATGCATCAACATACATGTCTACAAAATTCTACAAATACACCTATATGCGTGGATATCATAGGCTTCTTCCCCGACAACACACCGCATAACATCCAGGTGTTTGACCATGAAATCTCGATGTTTTGTCATTCTTGAGGGTTTAACCACCCATGTTTGATCATGTTTGGTGGGTAATTTCCCCATATTTCATCGGTTTCGCGTGCTTAAATGATCATAAATTCGACATTTTTGTTCAAAAATGACAAACTAAATCCAATGAAACTCCCAAGTTTAGCCTGGGATTTGGACATGTTTAGACATGTTATAAACCCCCCATAACCCTCCAGGGGTATCCCGGGCACCATCTTGGCGTCGTTCCGCAGCTCGTTGGAGGCGAACTGCAAGGCTTCGCCGTCGCGGCACACGGCCGAGGCCACGAAGAGCCAGTCGTTCTTCAACTCGTTGGAGGCGTGGCGAAGTGCCAGGCCGTCCTGATTTTCCCAAAAGGTTGGGGGAGATCTCGGCTGGAGGATTTTTCCATGGGATTTTTCAGGTCAAACTGGCAAAAGCCTCCATTTTTAATAATGGAATTCATGGGATATAGAATAGAGTAAGATAGATATCTATCCAAGAATGGGATGTAATGCAGGGATTTGATATAAATTCTGGGATACCCTCTGGTAAACGTTTACAAAAAACTATGAACAATCACCATCTTCAAGTTCGGTAAATCAACTATTTCTATGGGCCATGTTCAATAGCAAACAGTTAGTCAGTACCAGAGGCTATAAATCATGGGATAGTGGATGAATCATGGGGGGTGCCAGCTTGCGGCGCTTGGCTAAGGGTGGCTAATGGGACCCAAAAGCACCTGAAAATGGATATTGGGCCCAAAGAATGGGACAAAAAGGCAATGTGAAATGTCACAGCCCATGTTGAAACATTACCCACGAATGTTTGTGTGGCACGCAAATCACACAGGTGCAAAAGTGTGAAATGTGAAAATTGCTAAAGGTGAACAATTTGCCACTCTCAGGAATCATCGGCCGCATTCGTCTGGGTTTTAATGGGATTTATATAATACATAGATCATGGGATGATAATGGATTATACAAGTTTTCACTGGGACGTAATGGGATTTTAATGACGGAAGGCGATCAAATGGGATATTTTCAATTAAGTATTTGGTTACAACGTCATAATGGAATTAATGGGAGATAGATAGATAGACAGACAAACAGACAGACAGATATCCAGTAATGGGATTATACAGGGATTTGATATAAATTGTGGGAGTAAATGGGAGTACCTTGTTACATGGTGATAAAGGGATACATAACGGGCTAGTATGATTCTATTGATTGATTTTATTTTCGGTTATAATGTATATACATGTATATACATCATAATATACTATATTCCATTTACTATAATTGTACCGTTTATCATGATATCATCAGGGAGATTATGGGAATTCACTATATTGCAATAGGTTATACATCATATGTATTATGTCTTACAATGTTTTTCTATGATTTGACCATTATATAGATAAAATATGACCCATAAGCAGGTCATATTTCAATAAATACCCTCTGGTAATTTGCTACGTAGCTATTGAAAATCACCATGCTATTAATGGGAAAATCCACGAAATGAATGGTCATTTTCAATAGCTACGTTTGACATAACCAGAGGGTATCATTTGTGACTTGTTAATGTTCAATATGATGCCCATTGATCCCTGGCTTTTGTGCGGCGAAGGTTTTTCGCGTGGCATCATCCCCAAGGAGACGAGGTTTTAGGTTGGAAAAACCTGGTCGATACATTGATTGGTTGAGGATTATAGGATATTATAGGGGAAATAATCATGATGATTATAGGATATTATTGGTTATTGATGATTATAGGATATATTTTAGAGGGTTAGCCAGTAAAAAAAGGCACAGCGATATATGATTGATACATGATGTTTCGTTGATGATCAAAAACGGGAAAAAAAACTACCCAATGTTAATTCGGCAAAAAGGGGGTTACTATCCAATATTAATCGGGGACCACCATAATCCATTCTGGGAATCCCGGAAGTCGCCAACCAGTACAATGGGTTTGGAACCATCCTTTTTAGTGCTTGGTAAATGGGTATCCCTACTATGGACATCTATGGACTATGATAATCACCAATAAACCAGGTAATACAACCCCTAAATTAATCAATCAACAGGGGTATTTTGAATGTCTCACATGGGAAGGGATGGGCCATAGGTATACCCATTGTCAATATGGCCACAGGATCTACCGTGGTAATGGTGATGTTTCTCATGGTGAATAGTGAACATTGTCTAGTCTACAAAGGTATAGCATAGTGAATACCAACCAACATTGTTGATTTATATGGACAATATACCGTTATCTATACATACGGTATGAGGAATTATCAAGTATAAATCATCATAAAATACACGGTTTCAGCTGATGCCCCAAAACAAAACAGAATACCCTCAGTTCATTTGCCATAGCTATGGAAAATGGCACATTTTTGTATGTATATTATATATATATAATATTATATAATATTATATAATTATGTATATATATATATACTAGATATATTAGATATTGTGTATATGTAGATGATTTTCCTGCTAAATATGGTGGTTTTCCATAGCTATGTCAAACTACCAAAGGGTAGACATATTATCGTAGAGGGAGCAAATTTGGCATTGATATCCGTTGATGCAACCAGCCAGAAGCCTGAGCTTTTTGATACCCGTCCTGTGGTGTCATGAAACATGGCTAGCTGGGCAATCCCGCACAAATATAGGTTTATAATGTTTATAATGATAGCTGGGAAAATATTCGAACTAGATTGAGAATTTTCCAGCTAGCCATGTTTGATTACCTGAGGGTATATGGAATATATCAACCAATATCAACCATAATTCAACATGACATATGGAAATTGATGGAAATTGGCAAGTATCATTCAAACATCGCGAAAGCGGTATATAAAACCTGTTTGAATGAGCCAGTGTTTGTCTTAGCATCTATTCTGGGATCCGTGACGCAGTGACGCTGGATGCTCCATGGATATTGGGTCATTGATATTGATTAACCTTATCAGTCATAGTAGCCCAGTATCTGTTTTGATACTGCGACTGGGCTACTATGTAACCTTTCATCTTGGAAGAAAAAATGAAGTGTCTCCTCTACACCAATAGTTGATTTCCGCATCTCAAAAGGTCTTGAAATGGGGCTATCTGCTAAGTTTCAAATCCCAGCTCCACTCAAATTGGGCTTGATTTCAAAACCGACAAATTTGGTCCCAGATTGTGCCACAAATCACTGTGAAAAAGCAGAAGTGCCTGCCATATATGCCATGTTTGGAGGGTCCAAGCATCTTGTTTGATGGCAGTCATCACCACCTCACGGTTGTTGGTGAACTCTTCAGGTGCCAGGCCCAACTTCCACCAGTTTTTTTCAATCTCCTTCTCCCAGCGAAAGACGGCCTTACCTCAGGTGGCAGCTGAAAGCCGTAGGAAAACGGCCAACTTGCCAGTTTCATGTTGATTTGCTGCATGTTCTACACGTTTAAATATCTTAATTATACATTGTGTATATATATATATATATGTAATTCTATATGTAGATAACGTCTCTATGTATGTACATATCAATTAGATTAGATTATTGCATGTGCAAGATGTTTCGTTGATGCGTAGATTCATAGATCATTCTTGAACATAATTACATACAGTAGATCAAGGAAAGTACATGTTTCTTTTCCTCAATACTTAGAACCACAGGGATGTATCTGCAAATAGACAACGGTGGATACCCCCGAATAACCATTTTAATGGAACATGTGATTGACCAGTGGATTTATGACTTATGATACCATCTGTTCCAGTCAAACCCAAATGCTAATAGTATCTACAAATGCTCGTTCAAATGACTACAGAATAAACATGAATAAACATTTCAGGTCTGAAATGACTTGTAGACATCCTCAAAAAAACGACACAAGTCAGGATCTCACGTTGTCGAAACATGTCAAAACCCTGGCCACATTAGCACGAGATCAAGACACTTGATGGTTGTTTGGACACATGCTTTTCATCCATTGCAGATGGCGCTTTTGACATCCTCTTTTCATCCAGGCCCGTTGGTGCTTTGGACATCCTCTTCTGATCCAAGCCAGTTGGTGCTTTGGACATCCTCTTCTCATCCAGGCCAGTTGGTGAAGTCGGTGCTTTCGACATCCGCTTCCCTTCTGAACCTGTGAAATGTGGAGTTTCAATGGTTTTCATATGTTTCCATGTTTACTCAAGGCACAAATTTCATCAAATTTCTAGAGAACACAGAGCTGAAGTTTTTTGATCCACAATCAAACTGCTCTTTTTCAATCAAGGTCTATCACCAGCCTGTGGGATTCCCTATGACATAGATTCATTATTGGTACCCTCTGGTAAACGTTTACATAACTATGGAAAATCACAATTTTTCATGGGAAAACTTACTATAAATGCTCATTTTCAATAGCTATGTTAGTTTACCAGAGGGTATCCCCAAAGAAAAACACAGGACCCAGGCTGATCCCAGCCTGGATCTTTGTCCGTGGATGTCTCCATAACGCAGTGCGGCGGTTTGCATAGGGTGCTGAGAGTTTCTACGCTGTAAATCCCACTGTTGTTTTTCCCGAGGTTCACCAGCAATCTTCTCCTGCCATTTTCTTTTCTAGATGCTTGATGAACATGACCACTCCCTTCCAACTTATCTGTGTTTCTTTTGATCGGTGCTCCGTGCAACGGCAGCGGAAGCACAGGACATCTTGGATTTTTCTTCACGCCCTCTTTGCGTGGAAAATTTGCCTGTCACCTTCAGCCTTGGAAGGTCTGAAAGGTTCACATCTGATTTTAATCCCTGCAATACTCTGAGCCACAAGCTGAGGATTGGAACAGGTTTCCATAGGAATGATGGACGATTCACTGAGAAAAAATTGGAAAAAATGGGGATACTTCACTCCACTCCAGCTGTCACAAACAACTCTTGAAATCTCGTCCACCAATTTCTCGATCAGTTTCTATGGAAATCCGCCGCCCAAAAACGTGTTTGCACCCTCTGGAAATTTAACATTCCCCAATGGAAAGATTGATAGCTATTAAGCATCCAGTAATTCTCTATTGAATTCTATTGATATCATCCCTAAATATACCCTCTGGATCCCTCTGGTAATTCAACATAGCTATGGACAACCACCATTTTTACGAGGTAAATCATCTTTAGACATCTTTAAGATGGGCCATCTTCCGTACTGTAGCTATGATTAAATTACCAGAAAATAGCAAACGTTCGAAACCATTGGTTTGCCATGTGTTGCCCAAAAACATCCCAGGCCCATGTTTCGTGGCGTGGCAGCTCGTCTGAAAATCATGGGATACCCCATTCCATCCAGTGGTAATTGAAGTAAATGGCCCATTTTCCCCCAATTTTGGTAGGAATTCACTGAACTCTTCCATGTCATGAGAAGTCCCAAAGGGCCTCATTGGCCTTCGGTTCTACAACCTGCGGAAGAAATCTGCAACTCGACTTCGGAATTTTGGATGATGAACTTCTTGGTTTTGACAGTAGGTTTTGTATGGTTTTGTTGCTTCAAAATCCAAATTTTTAGAATTCTGGATTAAATTCGGGGTTTCGTTGTCTGGCTCAATGGTGTTCAAGTCAATCCACAAACTCTCTTGAAACAGTACACCACATTTTTTTTTTTCCAGCAAAATCAGCCGCGTCATTTGCGGGCCGGTCCATTTGCTGTCGGCAGAGGCCTCGTCATCCTCCTTGATTTCTTCTTCCTCCTCCTCTTCGTCAGAAAGGCTTGACTCCTGGGCACTGACCTGTTGGACCTGTCTCGACCTGTCTTGACTTGGACGCAGTTACCCCCCAGCACGCGATGGCAAGTTCCTTAAATGATACAAATGGCAGTGTGTCAAAACCTTGTACCCCTGGTGAACATCAAAATAGCTGGTAAATGGATGTTCATCCCACTAAAAATGGTATTAATAGGTATTGATCCATACCCAAATAATCCAAACGGATCCGAAAAAGCTCAACGTTTTTTTTAAAGTTACCACTTCGAGAAGGAATGGATGGTAAAGTGAATTGACCCAATCGTGGAATTCAATGGATTGTGAGACCAGTTGGGTTGTTCATTGGCCAAGGCAGTGGTTCCACCAATCTACTGCACTCATCTTCTCCCGGTTCGAAGATACGGTTGTTTGGATGATGAAAAACACTATAGTAATGATTACTGATAGTACTATCATCAAGGAAAAGTACTATTATATCACTATCAGTACTAGCCATCGTTTCTATTGCTAGTCATGTAAATTGTAAATTCATTTGGTTTCATCATGTTTTCACTGATCATGTTTTATCGCATTCGAATCATTCGAATGTTCCGACCATCGTATTGAAATTCCCACCAGCACCCCGGACGGCTGGACCTCCTCAGCATTCAGCGCTGGAGCCTCGGATGATCCATGCGTGTTTGAATATAACCGTGATATAACATGATATTACCGAGATGTACTGTAGGGGGATATATATATATATATACAGTATATGATTATATATATATATGATTATATATGTACAACAGCTAGCATTATGGTTATGGTCCAAAAACTCTAGATGGGGAACAAACCCACTTATATCTCGGGGCTCGGGGGCCACCTTGTACCAGATGAAACTATATTGACATCTACAACAATATGTGCTTGTCTCAAAAAAACATGGCACCTCGAATTTCCAATCATCATTCTTTCCCTATCAACATGGCTATTTTGTGGATCCCATTTTAAGACAAACCCATATTAACTGGATGATACTGGCACGCCTTGTGAGTTGATGGGTCTCCAACGGCCGGAGTGTCATTGTCACGCTCTTTGGCAAGACTGGCCTGCACGTCATTCACTTGGCAATTGCAATTCAAACAATCCCAAAATTAGCCCAACATCCCAAAGTACTTGTTACTTGTCGTTAATTCATGGCTGGGATGGACAACGTAATACATACTTGAAACATCTGGAAACTGCAAACCATTCTAGCGTATATGGATATAGTCAAAGCTATCAACTCAAGATTAGTCATGTCACATTTTTCGACGTCTTGTCACATCTTTCGAGACTCTTGTTGTGTCTGCTGGATCTTGGGCAGTAAGAATGCAGTACTGGCATACAGATATCCATTGGCTGCAACAAATGAAGTCAGGTCATCACAAACAACCTCAAGTGCAAACAATACCCTCTGGTAATTTAACATAGCTATTGAAAATCACCATTTTTAATGGGAAAATCCACTATTAATGGTCATTTTCAATAGCTACGTTAAATTACCAGAGGGTATGTGAAGTGTACAGTGTACGAAGGCCAACTGGCCTATATATGCACCATTCTCCAGTCTGGGTCATTCCGGGTCTCCAAAACGTTCATCAAAACGTCCACGTGATCCAAAACAGCTGGGTCTTCAGGCTGTTTGCCGCTGCAGCTCGGCAATACCTCAGGCTTTGTTTGGTCTCACGCCATGGTGACGACTGGGCCCCATGACTTAAGACACCTCCATATCTATGTATAGTAACCTTCTGGCCATCCAACAACTACCCCATATTATCCCATATTCATACAGAGACTACATTCATGAAAAAATCATATTATAGATTAGTTATCAATGATAGATGATAGATTAATAGATTAGAGATTATATATATATAATAGATCATCAATGATCCACACCAAGAAAGTACACCAAATGGTCGGTTTCCAGCTTGGAATGCTGTTCTTCACTGGATACTGCAGTGCTGTGGCCCCCGACGCGCCGCAATGTCTGCGGCCTACAGTGATCCATAGGGGATTCTATGTCACCAGCATCCCACATCTATGGATAATTTGAATTATTTATATTTATATATTATATATTACATAACTGTATAATCTGAAAAAAAGAACTGAAACAAGGCCACTAGGGCATAGTTACCCCTGAGAACTTCTGGGTCATGAACTGTGATTATCAATGGATTTAAACCATGGGCATTGAAAAGATTTGAAACGTGATGTGTACAAGCAGATTCTAGAGAATCAATGTCAAAACATCGTCTAGATCACAGGTCGGTCAATCTACAGCTGAACATGTTGCTGTCCCGCATCTTCGGAAAACCTCACGGCCAACAAAGCAAGTTGATGTTGCGAATTATCTAATTCTGTTTGTATATATAAATTCATCTATTGATAATCTCTCGGGGTCTCGCTTTCAGCATCCAAATCTTTTGAACCCAACATCGCTGTGGAGATACTCGAAATCATGGCTCCAAAAAACGCCATTATGCCCGCGGTGCCTTGCGTTTGAGCTCCTCCATGGTTTTTTGAAGCTCCAGTTCTTCTTTCTGAGCCTCCAAGGGCTCAAAGCCATGGGTTTCCCATGGCTTTCCCATGGGAAATGATCTACAACTAGTGGGTTTTCCATAGACTTACAGCAGGGTCAAAAGATGGGGAGTCAACACAAGCTTCGTCCGGCCATGAAGATCATGAAGCATGATCCTCTGGAGAAAAGACAGTGGGTAAAACAATGTCATAAACCATTCCCATCATTCCCCAAATCAGCTAGTTATTGTAATCTTGGTAAAACAATGTCATAAACCATCCCTTAAATTTCACCATTTTTATAGGTGGCATATACAGTATACTGTATATAAACCATTCCCAGTCAGTGGTGCAAATGACATGAGTTTTTCCCCCAAAAAGTTCATCTCACGGCGCTGGAAATGTCGTCCCTGACCTGCGCCAGCTGCGCCGACAAGTCTTCTTCACGACGCTTTCGAGCCAGTTCCTGAGAGAAAAAGGAGGAAAAAGGGAGCGAAGCTCTATGAATCTCAAGGGATGTGGTTGCAAGATGTTGGCATGGCACAGGGAAATCCCCTGTACAAGCTTTTCATCTAGAAATGATTACAAATGGGGATTTTCCATTTTCATGTTTGATTACCGGAAGGTATCTGAGGTGGGGTTGCTTCATCAAAACTGAGAAACTAAACCTGTAGGAATTGTGCATATTACTTGAAAGGTAGAACGTGCACCAAGCCGAATGAGATCCCTTTCGTTGCTTCCAAGCTCGAATCAACAGGAAACTTGTTGGCTTTGAATGTGTGAGAAATGGCAAAACCTTTCGCTGGCTCTTGCTGGCTTTAACCCACAAAAATTAGCCGCTTGGGACATCCCAAATGGGATTTTTTACACTTGAAAAACCACGGTGGTCTTCACCACCCATCGGTAAAAGTTGCTGTCCGATTCTGAGGCGTTCCGACGCGCTCCTTCTGCGATCTCTGCTGCTCCTAGCTTCGGTCGACCGAACACTGGAACCAACATTCTGTCGATTGGTACCCTTTGGTAAACTGACATGACGAACTGGAAAACCACCACTTTTAATAGGTAAATCAACGAACTAAATGGGTGATGCTCGATGCTATGCTGGTCTACCAGAGGCTATCTCATCTACAAGATCCTCACGTATTAAACTGGCCCCATGGATAGACACCCAACCCGGTGATACCTCCAAGTGCACGCGTTTCTGCTCGCGCTCCTGTTTGATTGAACGTGCTTTGGTTAGGAATTACTGGTGAAAATATTGGTTACTATTGGCTATATAGTATTAATTGATATTAATTGGTTGAGTAATTGGCCAAACATGTATAACAATGTCAGATCTCCCAAGTGATTGCCATCAAAAATCACTAAACTGTTGCCAACCATGGGACTTTGCGGCACCCTATTCTAAGACTCGCTCACAAGAAGGACTTATGTTTACGCTAGCGGGGTGAAAACCGGCCAGTGTTTTAAGTGTTTCACCTGCATTCATGTCAATGATGCATGTATGTTTGACATGGGTGGGGTGTGGTTGGTGGAGGGGCAATAGCGTTCAAGCGAACTGGCAGCCGCAGGGCTACGTTGATGGCACGTTGGAGATGTGCTACGCTCCATAGGTCAAGCAACTGAGCAACTGCAGAATTATCTGCGGCCTAGTTGGGAGGAAACTTACCGACGGGCTCCAAAACTGAAGCAACATGCACATGTCCAATCATTTCCAATCATTTTCTACACAATTTATGATGATTTGACACATTTTTGGACTTTGGACACATCTTTTTTTCATGGGCAGGTGGGATTGGAAGGGTCATACTAATGGAGGTCTATGGCATTGCAATTTAGGGACCTCTCAAAAGTTTATCATAGTTTATCATAGTTTACATGTGTTCAAAACATGGCAATTTTAAGTGCAGGTGTTTTTCTTCAGATAAAAACAAAATCACCACCGGGTATGCTCCATTTTCGCACTAACATCAGATTCTTGGTGTTTTTTTTCCCGTCAAATACAACCATTGACTGTCCATTCTTTCCCATGAAATTCTTACAACCATTGATGAGAGCCATAAAATATATTATGGGTAGAACCAATGATTGTTATTTTTCCCATAGGTTTTAGAACCCACAATTTTTGTTGGTTAAACCTGGTTAAACCCCACAGCCATAAATGATCGGAGCTCAACACTTTCCGCTAGCGCCTTGGCTCGCTGCTGCTTTGCCTCGCTGCTGCTGACCAACGATCTTTTCGGGGGATGAAGATATGGTTCTAAGTTATAAAGTTATAAAGTTATAAAACCCAAATATGCGTGGTGGTATCCAAAATATATGGTGTTAATAAAATCCCAAATAATCATCATAAATATGTTGGCTGGCCATTTTTGGGTGTTCATGATTTTGATATTTGGGGTGTTGATAATTTTGATGATCTTTGAACATTTATGATCAGTTGAAATGGCTGTCACAATTATCAACCCACAACATGTCAGAATCTGACACATCCAGTTTGGGGAGTTGAGAATTTGAATCATCCCTCACAATGAATGTTGTTTCCCACAAACATCGGATGTTTGGACATTCCTCAGCGCCTCAGCTGGCCCCTGTTTCAACAAAATCGGGGATCATCAATCATCCCCCTGCAATGTTGATGGTTACGAAATCTTGCACCAGTTCAAAGTGGTGGTCTATCCCAGTATTCATTATAGGGTTTCAACCATCCAAGGTGATGCAGGATTTCTTCCATCCGCAGTAAACCAAGAATCAGTGAAGATCGGTCATATCCCCAACTGCAAACACGCCTGGATCATAGATGTACAATGCTCCCAGATCCATAGCATTGAGAACTTGGGTGAACATCTGTCCACAATACTCAACTTTCGCTTGTCTGATTTCTACTATAAGTTTATGAAATTCTACTTTTTTTCATATTATTTGATGACTCTAATGTACGGCCCATTTTTTGACATCTACCCGCTGGTTCCTCATGGCAATGGGGATTCCCCCATTACCGGGAGGTTCATCCACCATCCATAGCCATGGGATAGCCATGTGGAACGCCGCCTCAAGCTTCTCCCGAAGCTTTTGTCGTCTCACCTGTGATGGAAATGTAAGGGAACTTGCGGTCATCAAGTTTTAGAAATTCTTGGAATCAAATAGAAAGTATGTCTGACGTTTTATTGAGAAAATCATGGAACATCCATGAACATCCCAGAATATCATGGATGAGAATCTTGTTTTCTGGATATATTTTTTGTATTTTTGGGTATCTCATGGTATTTCGCATGCTCATCCACTTTCAAACAAACCCAAATACGTTAAAAGACACCAGATCATTTGAAAGGGGGGGACAGGCACAGTTTTACCTCAACAGAGTTGTAAGGTCGGTCCACAGAGCCGTGGAAGTGCAGCTGGCAAGTTGGCATTTCTTGGGAAACCTAGGGAATTGCCAACAAAAATCCGCTTGGAGGTTGAAAATCTCATCTTTCAGTTTCGGAGCCACATCTTGAGTGTTGGTTCACACCTCCTCCTGCTTTTTCTTGAGTTCGTTCAGCTTCAATTTCTGCTCCTCGGCTGCGGCTGACCCGAAAATGGGGCCTGCTGAAACATGAAAAATGTAGGCTTCATCCCGGGCCCGAGGCTTGAAAGCCACAAAGAATGTCTAATGTCTACAATTAATTGCTGACCCACCAGCTGTTCCCTCCAATCGAAATCCTGGTGACTTGGTTGAATCCCCATCCGGATTAAACACACACATGTGGAGTTGTCCAAACAAAGGGGGCGTATACCCCAAAATTACCATTTCAATAGGAAAACATGTGGAAAACCGTGGAAAACACGTCTTTCCAACGATGATTCTATCAAACATATCTGTTGGACATTTCACATCAATATGACGCCTAATACTATTGGGGGTTTCCTAAAAGGGGGGTACTTTCTAAATCATCCATGTTATTTTCGGATTGTCCATGAAATAAACCATCCAGCTACTGGGGTGGCCCCAACCAGAAACTCACATCGCGGCCTCAGTGATCTGCGGCGCATCGTCCCGTTTCAGATCCTGAAGTTCCAGGCCCAGGGGGTTTCCACAAATTGGGATACCCCAATAGCTGTTCAATAGCTGGATGTTTTATTTGCTGGAAAAGCAATCTATAAATGGATGATATAGGGGTACCCCCATTTTAGGAAACCTCCAAATGTAGAACCTTGCGTGTTTAAAGTTGAACAGCGTACTCCGAAGTGCTTCAAACTGAAAAGTGTTCGAAGCAAGTCGGTGAATTTTGAACTGTGTGCTTGGCCCCGCCCCAGAGTCGCAAGTCCTCTTTCCGTTTCGCACGCTCCTGGCATATCATGGTCATGGTGGTGCTACACCAACAACAAAGCGATGGTACTGGGTTCATCGTCATCCCGTGTCATCCCATGTCATCCCAGTCCTCGTCTTTCTTCAAGCGTTCAGCTTGCAGCCGCTCTTCCTGTTTCCTGGCGACGGAAAAAACAAGGTGAGGCCCTGTTTTAGAAGTTGCCCACAGGGCACCACAAAAAAAACAGTTCGATCCCCCACTTAAACCCATTATATAGTTATAGTTATGTGATGTTATAACTCATAGTAAGATGATAACTCTTGTTGTAACCAATTAGTTATAGTTATATATATGATGTTATATGATGTTATAAGTCATAAATTCATCGGCCTCTTTGCCTCAAAAATTCATGCCACAGCCGTCCCTGGCATCCAACTGCTTTCCTTACAGCAAATCACCCATGGCCCATCATTGAAAAGCACATTCTATACTCTAGTGAAACAGCAGCAATTTATAGTGATGGTATGTATACATATATAGTCATCAAAGGAAGTTGGGAAGCAATACTTCCGTGTTACGGACAAATAGAATTCTGAGACTTGAAATGATGAAGGGTGGTGCGCGATTGAGACTTGACCTTGATGAAGGGTGGTGTGAGACTTTACATGACATAACAATACATCACATTGAGACTTGACCTTGATGAAGGGTGGTGTGAGACTTTACATGAAGGGTGGTGTGAGAGTACATGAAGGGTGACGAAGGGAAGTGGTGACGAAGGGAAGTGTGACGATGGGAAGTGGTGATGAAGGGAAGTGGTGACGATGGGAAGTGGTGACGAAGGGAAGTGGTGACGAAGGGAAGTGGTGACGAAGGGAAGTGGTGACGATGGGAAGTGGACGAAGGGAAGTGGTGACGATGGGAAGTGGTGACGAAGGGAAGGTGGCGATGGGAAGTGGACGAAGGGAAGTGGTGACGATGGGAAGTGGTGACGAAGGGAAGTGGTGACGAAGGGAAGTGGTGACGATGGGAAGTGGTGACGAAGGGAAGTGATAAGCAAGGGGAGTGGTGACGAAGGGAAGTGGTGAGGAAGGGAAGTGGTGAAGAAGGGAAGTGGTGACGAAGGGAAGCGGTGAAGAAGGGAAGTGATGATGAAGGGGAGTGGTGACGAAGGGAAGTGGTGACGAAGGGAAGTGATGATGAAGGGGGGTGGTGACGAAGGGAAGTGGTGAAGAAGGGAAGTGGTGACGAAGGGAAGTGGTGACGAAGGGAAGTGGTGACGATGGGAAGTGGTGACGAAGGGAAGTGATGATGAAGGGGAATGGTGAGGAAGGGAGGTGGGGACGATAGGAAGTGGTGAGGAAGGGAAGTACTGAGGAAGGGAAGTGGACGAAGGGAGGTGGTGACGATGGGAAGTGGTGACGATGGGAAGCGGTGAGGAAGGGAAGTGGTGAGTTGGGGAGGAAGCCGGAGCACGAAACGTTGTGTTTTTCCGTGTAAAGTGGCTGCAGCCGGCGATGAAAGGTACCTTGTCTGTGCGGCGGGTGCGGCTGCGGTCGGTTTGCCTTTTTTTTTTGCCGCATTATAACGGTGGCTTCAAGCTGCTTTGGGTGTGCTTGTGTGTGCGTAGTTATAGGGTGTTTTGGAATCTGTGCTTGCAGATCGCATTGGAATGGCTGCATGATGTTGCAAGGGCTTTGTTTTGGGGAGGAAGCCGGAGCACGAAACCTTGTGTTTTTCCGTCTAAAGTGGCTGCAGCCGGCGAGGAA